ATAAAAATAAAAAAAAAAATTCATGTGTTTAAAAACTATAGAAATATAATTTCTATATTTTCATAATCAATATGTCAGTTAATAATATGTTTCTTACATCTTCACTTCACCCGGTAGTCTTCTTCTTACTAATACATATTTAATGTTACACAGTACACATCACATTCCTTTCTCTCTAACTCGTTTTTCTAGCCATTGGTAAAAATTGTCCCATGTTCTAAAATATACTAAATCGTCTTTCTCTTTTATCTTCAATGTCAATCTGTCCATTTCTGCACCAGCTAAGCTTTTTTTAATTAATTCTTTCTCCGTTGGTAGGTTTTCATTTTTCCAATATTGAGCAAATACTATTCTTGCTGCAGTTAATACATACTGTATAAAATTAAATATATACATTCTTTCTCATAGTTAGATGAATATTAAAACGCATGAAAATGTAGGAGAAGAACAGGCAAACCTGGGGGATAGGGGGTGGAGTTAAGTAAGTAATTAGCCTAGAGTTGCTATGTTCCCACATATGAACCAAGTCCAGTCCATCTTGAATTCCATTGATCCTTCTCTGGCTTCGATTCAGATATGAATTTTAGCCAGCTAGATTCTTCTGAATTGCAAGTTAATTTGTTGTGCCTGATAGAAATGTACAAAAATTGATATATTGTGGCTGATCACTGTCACAGCCCAGGAGTCAGACTCTGAATTCAAGAAAACTGCTCCAGATGATACAGTGGAATTTCAGCCCTAGGAGGCATCAAGCCAGGAATCACCAGAAGCTTATTAAACATAGCCACGATCAGAACAGCTTGAATAGTCAGATAGTGAAAAATGGCCTTTGAACCAGTGGCGGGATTCAGCCAGTTCGCACCAGTTCGGTAGAACCGGTAGCTAATTTTTTTGTTGCCCAGGCCCAGAATGGACTTCCAGAAGTGGCATCCACACAGAGAACCAGTTGTTCACATATTTGAATCCCACCACTACTCTGAACCCTGAAGAAGCAGAGCAGAGAGCAGAGCAAAGAAACTCAATAAGGCTCCTTGTCAAACAAGGTTGAAAAGAATTCAATTAACAAGGTTAATTGAAAAGAGTTGCTGCAGTCTGATTTAAGTGAGAGTACTGACCAATCCAGTTTCTGTGTTAGAAACAACTATCTCATCACCTGCCTGTTGTTCTAGTGTATTTTGCTTGTGTAAAAAAAAAAAGTACTCTCTCAGCATGGTCATTAGCTTGCAGAAATTTTTCCCTGTAACATATCAAGAAAAACAAAATGTTTGCAAACCAGACAGTGTCAGGGAGGGATTCCACAGTGTAAGTATCAATGTGTGTTTGAGCTGGAGTGCAATAATTGAATCGTTGCCTCACTGTGCAAAAAGTGTTGTTTGCTTGCTTAGAAAAGTTCAAAACTGTGGATAAGGTGGACAACCTGGGACACTTTAATTTAAAGGGAAATGCAATTATTAAAAGAAAGCGAACATGGCTGTTCTTCTGATTGTCAAAATCGCTGGAAGGAATTGTGTTCTTGGGGAATTCAAAGTCATTGTTGGTTTGCCATCCACATAAAATGGGGGTAGCCCTTCCTAGCTTCCAATCAAACAATA